CTCATTTTGAATAAATATGTGATAATGGGCTTTAGGAACATTCAGCATCCTAGCATATAAGATATCCTAAATTAAGAATGTCACAGCTTTTTGGAAAGTTACTAATTTCTTGGCCACAGAAGAAACGTGTTCTTTAGTGACCATCAGTTAATGAGATGGTACTTGTTGGCATGCAAGCAAAGTAAATTGGCTTGAGTTCTGTTTCTTATCATTATTTTAAATGATAACATTATTTTAACATAATTTATCATTATTTTACATTGGCCACAAGACCATATAGACCAAATGTAATTCTGCATACGTACATCACAGGAAGAAACTTGATATGAGGAAAACAGAAAAGTTTAGAGAAGGTGACAAAGTCATTCTGGAGCTGTGTTTCTAACCTGTTAAAGTCTGCTTGAGGAGTGATGCCCGAAGTATAAGTAATCTAAATTAAAAATCAGGTCGCACAATTTTTAAAATATACATGGAACTGTAGAAACTAATATAGGGCTTCTTTATGCACAAGACATTATATATGTGTATGTTATATACACAGCCAGAAGCTTCCTTTTTGCCCACCTCTGTTTCCTTCTTTTGAGGTTGATGTGTTTCTTTCCAAGTATTCTTATGTACTGTTACTTTATAAATATGTATAAATAATAGTGCTTACTTCTTCTCTGTAGGTTTACATATGTATATAAATATAAATAATATTAAGAAAAAGCAAGTGGCAGAAAGAATTCTGTGTATGTCATAGCAGCTAAATGTTTGCTGATTTTATGCACTGTCAATTTCATTAAGCCTTTGCCTAGTCTACCATCTTTCTTTGTAGTGGCTATTTCCATGCAATTTAAATACCCATTCATACCATTTAAGTTTAGATAAAGGGTAAATCGATCTATTTTTTATGGGTTACCATTTAGTGTCTCATTTAAGAAATCTTCTACCCCAAGATCAGTGAAATAGTCTCCTATATTTTTCATTTGAAATTTTAAAGTTCTGTTTTGGTTCATATTTAACTCTTTTAAGTCATCTAAATTTATTTTTATGCATAGTGTGAAGTAGGGAGTTCAACTGTACTTTTTTCCTGGTAATAGAATTTATTTCATCATAAAATCAATTATTTTCTCTTCTACATTGTCCCCACTGATTCCTGGTGCCATCTTTGTTCTAAAAACCTTTTGCCATAAAAATATCTATGGATATGGCTTCATAATTTTGAGACTTTAGGACTTTGTCTTACTTTTGAACAACACTGAGAATGTAGTTTAAAATATCTTGTCATATTCATGAGTTTTGGGTAATAGTTTGCTTTGAAATAAAAAGTTGTATCCTTATTAGAAAAACAATTTAATCACTGATGCAAAATATTTATTACTCCATTCTAGCTAGAAGCTATGTTTATTCATCAATTTGTTTCATATTTATTGCTACTTACTGTCTATGAGTGCCATAGATAAATAAAGGTCATTCTTTTTTTTTTTTAGTGTGTGAACATTTAGAGCTTTATTTTTTATTTTATTTTTTTAACTTTATTATTCATATGTGCATACAAGGCTTGGGTCATTTCTCCCCCCTGCCCCCACCCCCTCCCTTACCACCCACTCCGCCCCCTTCCTCTCCCCCCCAACCCCCTCAATACCCAGCAGAAACTATTTTGCCCTTATCTCTAATTTTGTTGAAGAGAGAGTATAAGCAATAATAGGAAGGAACAAGGGTTTTTGCTGGTTGAGATAAGGATAGCTATACAGGGCATTGACTCACATTGATTTCCTGTGCGTGTGTGTTACCTTCTAGGTTAATTCTTTTTGATCTCACCTTTTCTCTAGTTCCTGGTCCCCTTTTCCTATTGGCCTCAGTTGCTTTTAAGGTATCTGCTTTAGTTTCTCTGCATTAAGGGCAACAAATGCTAGCTAGTTTTTTAGGTGTCTTACCTATCCTCACCCTCCCTTGTGTGCTCTCGCTTTTATCATGTGCTCAAAGTCCAATCCCTTGTTGTGTTTGCCCTTGATCTAATGTCCACATATGAGGGAGAACATACGATTTTTGGTCTTTTGGGCCAGGCTAACCTCACTCAGAATGATGTTCTCCAATTCCATCCATTTACCAGCGAATGATAACATTTCGTTCTTCTTCATGGCTGCATAAAATTCCATTGTGTATAGATACCACATTTTCTTAATCCATTCGTCAGTGGTGGGGCATCTTGGCTGTTTCCATAACTTGGCTATTGTGAATAGTGCCGCAATAAACATGGGTGTGCAGGTGCCTCTGGAGTAACCTGTGTCACAGTCTTTTGGGTATATCCCCAAGAGTGGTATTGCTGGATCAAATGGTAGATCAATGTCTAGCTTTTTAAGTAGCCTCCAAATTTTTTTCCAGAGTGGTTGTACTAGTTTACATTCCCACCAACAGTGTAAGAGGGTTCCTTTTTCCCCGCATCCTCGCCAACACCTGTTGTTGGTGGTGTTGCTGATGATGGCTATTCTAACAGGGGTGAGGTGGAATCTTAGTGTGGTTTTAATTTGCATTTCCTTTATTGCTAGAGATGGTGAGCATTTTTTCATGTGTTTTTGGCCATTTGAATTTCTTCTTTTGAGAAAGTTCTGTTTAGTTCACTTGCCCATTTCTTTATTGGTTCATTAGTTTTGGGAGAATTTAGTTTTTTAAGTTCCCTATATATTCTGGTTATCAGTCCTTTGTCTGATGTATAGTTGGCAAATATTTTCTCCCACTCTGTGGGTGTTCTCTTCAGTTTAGAGACCATTTCTTTTGATGAACAGAAGCTTTTTAGTTTTATGAGGTCCCATTTATCTATGCTATCTCTTAGTTGCTGTGCTGCTGGGGTTTCGTTGAGAAAGTTCTTACCTATACCTACTAACTCCAGAGTATTTCCTACTCTTTCCTGTATCAACTTTAGAGTTTGTGGTCTGATATTAAGATCCTTGATCCATTTTGAGTTAATCTTGGTATAGGGTGATATACATGGATCTAGTTTCAGTTTTTTGCAGACTGCTAACCAGTTTTCCCAGCAGTTTTTGTTGAAGAGGCTGCTATTTCTCCATCGTATATTTTTAGCTCCTTTGTCAAAGACAAGTTGGTTATAGTTGTGTGGCTTCATATCTGGGTCCTCTATTCTGTTCCACTGGTCTTCATGTCTGTTTTTGTGCCAGTACCATGCTGTTTTTATTGTTATTGCTTTGTAATATAGTTTGAAGTCAGGTATTGTGATACCTCCTGCATTGTTCTTTTGACTGAGTATTGCCTTGGCTATTCGTGGCCTCTTGTGTTTCCATATAAATTTCAGTAGATTTTTCAATCTCTTTAATGAATGTCATTGGAATTTTGATGGGAATTGCATTAAACATGTAGATTACTTTTGGGAGTATCGACATTTTTACTATGTTGATTCTACCAATCCATAAGCATGGGAGATCTCTCCACTTTCTATAGTCTTCCTCAATCTCTTTCTTCAGAAGTGTATAGTTTTCCTTGTAGAGGTCTTTCACATCTTTTGTTAGGTTTACACCTAGGTATTTGATTTTTTTGAGGCTATTGTAAATGGAATTGTTTTCATACATTCTTTTTCAGTTTGCTCATTGTTAGTGTATAGAAATGCTAATGATTTTTCTATGTTGATTTTATATCCTGCTACCTTGCTATAGCTATTGATGATGTCTAGAAGCTTCTGAGTAGAGTTTTTTGGGTCTTTAAGGTAAGGATCATGTCATCTGCAAATAGGGATATTTTGACAGTTTCTTTACCTATTTGTATTCCTTTTATTCCTTCTTCTTGCCTAAGTGCTCTGGCTAGGAATTCCAGTACTATGTTGAATAGGAGTGGAGCTAGTGGGCATCCTTGTCTGGTTCCTGATTTTAGAGGGAATGGTTTTAATTTTTCTCCATTAAGTATAATGCTGGCTGTAGGTTTGTCATATATAGCTTTTATAATGTTGAGGTACTTTCCTTCTATTCCTAGTTTTCTTAGAGCTTTTATCATGAAATTGTGTTGGATCTTATCAAAGGCTTTTTCTGCATCTATTGAGATGATCAAGTGGTTTTTGTCTTTGCTTCTGTTAATGTGGTTTATTATGTTTATTGTTTTTTGTATGTTGAACCACCCCTGCATCCCTGAGATGAAGCCTACTTGGTCATGGTGAATAATCTTTTTGATGTGTTGTTGAATTTGGTTTGCCATTATTTTGTTGAGGATTTTTACGTCAATGTTCATTAAGGAGATTGGCCTATAGTTCTCCTTTTTGGAGGTGTCTTTGCCTGGTTTTGGGATAAGTGTAATACTGGCTTCATAAAATGTGTTTGGCAGTTTTCCTTCCCTAATAAAGGTCATTCAGTGATAAATATGACACAGCAATGACACTACAATCAATATTCATTCAACCATGATTAATCCAGTTGTGTTAGCCAAAATTGCCCATTTTGCTATGTGTATAAAATTGATACATATAGCAAATAAGTGATACACTGATATGCCATTAGGTGATCAAGTAAGCCTTCATTAATAAACCCAACATGGAATATGTACCTGTATTGCATGCCTTCCTGTGGGGGAACTGGGGCTGCTGGGAGGGCTGATAACAAGATGGGGCCTTTGGGATTTCCAACAGTTGTAACTATCCAGCAAACTCAGGAGGAGGAAATCGGGCAAGTTGCTCCTGGGAGAACACCAGCATTCAAAACAGAGATTGAATTCTAAGCTACAGCACAGAGATGGAATTGAGAGACCAAGAGTAAGAGCAGGAGCAAAGGGAAGGATCTGAGACAATCACAGAAGGGCCTGGAGCAAGTTTTCCTTGGCCTTGGTGGTTTCCTGAAAAGGTAGGGAACACTGGTCCATTTTAAAGACCTGAGGTCCCAGTAAACAGTAGACGTGCTTAATTCCATCGTGTTACCGCGTTTTGTTTTGATAGATTCCAGTGCTGCCAAAGTGGAATTTGTAGTCATGTAAAAAGATTGTTGGTAAAGCTTTACATTCCCTATTGTCCTATTTCCTTTTAGGTTTTGTGAATGATTCTGTCACTAAGTCTATTGTGGCATTGCGTTTAACTCTGGTGGTGAAGGCCAGCACCTGCATGCCGGGGGACAGCCATGCGAATGTCATGGAATGTTCAGGAAAAGGAAAATGCACCACGAAGCCATCAGAGGTAAGGGAACACCAGGTAGTTTGTGAATATATATTTACATAAATAAACACTACCTGAGTATGTATGTATCTAGAGCAAGGATGAGGAGGGAGGTATCAAGTGCATTTGCTGAACAAGCTTTTCAAATTTCTGGTTTCAATTATGTGTTAATATGCAACACATAGATGTAATCTCCATGATTTTTAAAGTCATTGTAATAAGTTTAGGCACTGATCTTGCTTTGGCATGAAGTAGAGCTCATATCTGGTAGCAAATCAAAAGAAATGGAAGAAAAAAGGTGAGCACACTTACTTGCTTATCAGTTTCTGGAACTCTTGCCTGCTAACATGATAATTTCCTCCTTAGGCTTCACATATAAGAGAAAGAGTAGAGAAGGAATGGAGAAGCAGCATAGAGGAGAAGGCTGGCCCATTGTTTTAATCTTTGTGGAGTCAGCATCATAAACACTAGGGAACCTGGGTGCTGTTCCCCATTTTCTTTAGTAGCTGCACTCACATGGGGCAAGGGCCTGAGGATAATTTCCTCTTTCTGCCTCCTAGTCTCTGCTCAGTGACAGGAATTCAGCGGTTAGACCATCAAAGGACCATAGCAGTCACTGGGGCCAACCTCCTTCAGTGTAGGGCTCCATGAAGACACTTTTGGCAGGTGGACTCGGGAAGAGCCCTAATGAGATGGTCAATACTTGTTACGAGATCCTGTTCTGTTAGGGGTCATCCATTCCTCTTGCGTCTTGCTGATTCTGTCTTGGCATTTTCCCTTTATTTTTCTCTCTCCAGTTATACACATTCTTTCCCTTGAAGTTAATGTTAAGTGAAAGTGGAATAGAGTGTTTAGAGGCAGCACAGATAAATTTTCTTGGATAATGCTGGCTCATTGGGTAACAGTGCTGTGACATTTGACAAGTGAGGAGGAGTGGACTAACTGACAGTAGGAATGTTGGAAGGAGGCTTCAACTACTGCTTGCCATCTTGGAAAACTGGGATTTTCCTGTCTTAGGTACAATATGGCAATTGCTTAAGTATACCATTTTCCTGTTGGGGAAAGTTGGGGAGGGTTAACATAGCTGGAAGAAAGACAAGGAAGCAATGGGGACTCTATTTGATAAGGAAGTCCAGAAGAGATGAAGAAGGAGGGATGGGGAAAGAGTACCAGGTCTTTAGGGGAGATACACAGATCTCTTACTGTCCCCAAAGAACCATTTAGCCCTAAAAAAGACAAGATCAGCAAAAGAGAAGCATCTCAAACGAGGAGTGGAGGGCCACTCCTGAATTTTTGACTGATAAAGTGGTAGAATTAATTGTGAGCTTTCTTTTCTAATGGCTGGTACTTTTGGGGAAACTTTTAATCCACAAAGCATTGTCTTAAAGCACACATATGGCGGGCATGCTCCCAGCATGCAAGACTCCTCTATAGGAGAGCTCCAGCCAGGAGACTCAGCCAGGAACTCAGAATCAACTCATTGCAAAGGCAACAGGGGTGTTTAGCACCTGGCAGGTAACTTGGCAAACCTTGCCAAACATGAAAAAATGACTCAAAACCTTAGTGAAGAATCCAGGCTAATTTTAGCAGGCTACTTCAGAGGAAGCACATCTTGGTTAGGAGATCAGCTTCTTTGAAGAGTTTCTGGCACCTTCTGAGCTAAGGCCTCCTTCTGACACTGCCACCTCCCAGCACCGCACCAGTTGTCTCTAGAGCATGGAGTCTCTGCTATTGTTGATTGTGCATTTGTCTTTGGTGGACATTGTGGCCACTAACCGTAACAGTTATTGCAATTACTCCTTGGTGATGCTAAGTTAATGGTCAGGCTGGCACCGATACATTCATTCCAAGACCACCACCTTGGGTCACATTTTTATCTTGGAAAGAAACACCTTAAATGACTCAGCTATCTACACAGAAGAGGGGGAGAAAGAAAGGTGGTTCATCTTTTTTGTGTGTCTATTTGAGTCCCATGACTTTTAGTAGCTGTTGTTAGAACAGTTACAGTGACTTAAGGGTACTTTGTCAGCAATAAAAACCCGTCATCATCCATCTTTCTTCCTTCTTCCTTCCTTCCTTCCTTTCTTTCTCTCTCTCTTTCTTTTCTTTTCTTTCTCTTTCTCTTCTCCCTCCCTCCCTCCCCCCTCTCTCCCTCCCTCCCTCCATCCATGCCTTCTTTTCTTTCTTTCCCTTCTTTTACTCTCTTCTTTCTTTCCTTTCTTTTACTCTCTCCTAAAATAAAGAGTTACATAGTCCAGCCTTTCACTCCATGCAAGAATCTACTCCATAGCACAAAACAAATAGAATTGTATTTGGCGATTTAATTTTGTTGTTTCTAATCATTTTTATGTCTTTTTATTGGATCATCCATCAAAACAAAAGCAATTCTGTTATTTCCACACCACTCTTATTGGGTAATGGAATTCATTTCTTCCTTGTCAGATGTACTTTAGTGAAGGGCTATTTCTCAATCCTAGGCTGATGAGTGGCTGGGTTAGAGCTTCAACTTGCTGTTCTTAACTTTCTCAATGAAACCCCAGCAGCACAGCAACTAAGAGATAGCATAGATAAATGGGACCTCATAAAGCTAAAAAGCTTCTGTTCATCAAAAGAAATGGTCTCTAAACTGAAGAGAACACCCACAGAGTGGGAGAAAATATTTGCCAACTATACATCAGACAAAGGACTGATAACCAGAATATACAGGGAACTTAAAAAACTAAATTCTCCCAAAACTAATGAACCAATAAAGAAATGGGCAAGTGAACTAAACAGAACTTTCTCAAAAGAAGAAATTCAAATGGCCAAAAAACACATGAAAAAATGCTCACCATCTCTAGCAATAAAGGAAATGCAAATTAAAACCACACTAAGATTCCACCTCACCCATTAGAATAGCCATCATCAGCAACACCACCAACAACAGGTGTTGGCGAGGATGCGGGGAAAAAGGAACCCTCTTACACTGTTGGTGGGAATGTAAACTAGTACAACCACTCTGGAAAAAAATTTGGAGGCTACTTAAAAAGCTAGACATTGATCTACCATTTGATCCAGCAATACCACTCTTGGGGATATACCCAAAAGACTGTTACTCCAGAGGCACCTGCACACCCATGTTTATTGCGGCACTATTCACAATAGCCAAGTTATGGAAACAGCCAAGATGCCCCACCACTGACGAATGGATTAAGAAAATGTGGTATCTATACACAATGGAATTTTATGCAGCCATGAAGAAGAATGAAATGTTATCATTCGCTGGTAAATGGATGGAATTGGAGAACATCATTCTGAGTGAGGTTAGCCTGGCCCAAAAGACCAAAAATCATATGTTCTCCCTCATATGTGGACATTAGATCAAGGGCAAACACAACAAGGGGATTGGACTTTGAGCACATGATAAAAGCAAGAGCACACAAGGGAGGGGTGAGGATAGGTAAGACACCTAAAAACTAGCTAGCATTTGTTGCCCTTAACACAGAGAAACTAAAGCAGATACCTTAAAAGCAACTGAGGCCAATAGGAAAAGGGGACCAGGAACTAGAGAAAAGGTTTGATCAAAAAGAATTAACCTAGAAGGTAACACCCACGCACAGGAAATCAATGTGAGTCAATGCCCTGTATAGCTATCCTTATCTCAACCAGCAAAACCCCTTGTTCCTTCCTATTATTGCTTATACTCTCTCTACAACAAAATTAGAGATAAGGGCAAAATAGTTTCTGCTGGGTATTGAGGGGGTGGTGAGGAGAGGGAGGGGGCGGAGTGGGTGGTAAGGGAGGGGGTGGGGGCAGGGGGCAGAAATGACCAAGCCTTGTATGCACATATGAATAATAAAAGAAAAAGAAAAAAAACAAAAACAAAAACAAAACCTTGCTGTTCTTAGATACTGCACCATTCTGAGAAAGCGCTCTGTTCTTTGAAACGAAGCTCTATGCTTTGTTGTAAGAGTTAATTCTGGTTTTACTTTCCCCTTACAAAAATAACTTGACTGTTGGGCACTATGTCTGTCTTTGAACTTTGTCCCCAAGGTGGTTAGGCTACTAGCTGCCATTTATTTGAAGATTGATCCCTTGATTATCTTACAGGTAAATGTCAGGAAGTCTGCACAGGGCTGTTTGCTGGCTTGTGTGTTAGGCCTTCTGAGATCTAGATTAGATTGCACGGACCTTGGCCCTCAGGTCCAAAGGTTCTTATTAGTTAGGATTTTTCCAGAGAAATAGAACCAATAGGATGGGTGTTGGAATTGGCTCATGCAGTTATTATGGAAAATCCATGGGGAGGCATACAGACTCAGGAAAGAATTGTAATTTGAGTCTAAGGACTGTCTGCTGCAGAATCAGGGAGGAGCTGACATTCCAAATGAAGTGTAGACCCCTTCTACTGAAAGAATTCCCTCTTGCTTGGGGAGGTCAGCCTTTTGTTCTGTTCAGGCCTTCAACTGACTGGGTAAGGCCTACTCACATTATGGAAGCAATCTACTTTGCTCAAAATCTGATTTAAATGTAGCTCTCATCCCCAAGCATGCTCACAGAATGGCCAGAATAATGTTGGACCAAATGTCTGAGCACTGTGGTCCAGCCAAGTTGATACATAAAACAAACCATCACAAGATTCTCTTTTTTCTGATTTTCTATTGCGCATTTGAATCCCTTGTCCACAAAATTGAGGGAAGTTTTGAAAATTTTGTTTGCTAAGAACAGCCGGAGTCCAATGAGAAAAAGTCATCATGTAAGCTCCTCACTCACACTCCGGTGGGCAATCGGGTGAGGCTGATGTGAAAGTAGACTGTGGACAGTAATCCTGGAAACAGGCTTTGGGGGCATGCTCATCACAGCCCCATTCCAGCTGATTCCCTAGAGCAACTACGCAGCATCTTTTCACTCAAGGATTGCTGTCCACCACTTCAAGGTCACTTGTAGTGAATAATAAAAGATCAATACTGAGAAGTGATAGAATGAGTCAATAAACTTGCCATGACTTTCCAGTTTTTTGGCCCTAGTCTGAACTGATGGGTAAA